TTGTCAGTGCATGGTTGCACTCCAGTCCAGTACTGGGATTTCAATTTTGAGGCTCATGGACCCCAGTGATTTGTAGCAGTCAGAGCAAGGAGCGCGTGTTAGTGCTTGGAGGTTGAGCAGCACAGGAATGTTAGTGGGGCCACTGTGTCAACCACTTTTCACAGGAAGCATGAGAATAATGTCTGGTATTGACTCAGTCGGCAATTCCTGGAAATGTAATTTACATGTACGTAGGCACCGGTTTAGGGAATACTTGTCGAATATACATGTAAGGAACAATACGAGAGAACCCATCCAGGGGACATGGCACTGAGTGACATGCCCAGTTGGCAGTGCCATCAAGTAGCAGTGCCTTAAAGCAGCAGTGTTACATTCTCGCCCTAGTGAATTTGATTTTGCATTGCTGGGAGTAGAAATGGAACTTTAGAATCACGCGGTGAAAGGGCTCTACATCAAAAAGCATAACAAGATGTAGTAACAACTTTATTACAAGTTGTAACACAGGAATCATAGGAACCGTTACAGTGTGTGTTTGCAGGGTTTGCAATGTGTGTTTACATTGTGTGTTTGCAGTACCTTCTATCTTCACGGTGTATATACACGGTGTATTTACTGTAGTCCTGGACTGTGTGTAGGATTAAAGTATTCTTCCTGGTTGGCAATGAAGTACTTGTTTTGTCCTAAATAACCCTCCAGCTGTTGATAGAGCTTCAGCTCAACACCAACCCAGCGGGGTGAAAGAGCTAGAGCGGAAGTCACCTAGAAATTAGATAGTGTGAATCAAGACTTCCACACTTCAGTATGTTTAGTGGAATACTTGATGATGAAGTCTTTAGTTGCACTTGGTTAGGATGTTACCACTTGAACAATATGTTAACTTTAATACAAGGCTCTGTGAAGATCAGGACATATTTAGCCTTGTCTGTGTGGCTCTGGAGCTGTAAAACGTCATAGAGTAGGACGCTTAGTACAAGTTCCTGTCTCAGATGCTACGGGAACAAAAGTGTACTGCCCTTATAGTTGCTTGCATTTGTTTGATTTTTCTTCTTCCCTGTGATTACGCATGCCTGCTCAGCATCGAAGCAAATATACGTCTCAGCCAGAAAGGATACACATGTGTAGCCCCACACCAGTTTCTTGAACCTCTTCCAGAGGTATATTGGGGTGCCATCACAGTAAGGCGTCGGATCGTTAGGGTTTTCGGCCAATAAAGTATGAGGCTCTCACTCTGATGGGCACTGGGTTGAGGCAAGGCTCCTGTTGATGACTTAAATACTTTCCTGTTAATCGACACATTTTCCAAAGCCTTTAACACAGTACGCATACTAATCTGAAAAAAGTTTGGTCATGCAATAAATAAATCATTAACAACACAGATAATAAACGGAAAATGATGAGCGGAGAAATACTCGATGCCATCTTCATCAAAACAAAAAGAAGTTGACGTTACATGATACAGTTGCAAGTATTTATATTTATCCAATGTAAACACCTCACAAACCGCTGACAATTACTGGTCTTATCTCACTACTGTTCATTGATAGGACACCGGGGAGCTACTTTCGTGTTGGTGTCAATAATAATAAAAGTATTCACAGATGCTCAGGCGTATCTCCGCCAACTGAGAAGATCATGTGAACAATGTACATGTTGACGAAGCTAAAACTTCGAGTAGCCAATAATGTTGCATACATACATACTCAGTCGCAACCGTCGATGAGTGGGGCGACTGATATTGACCGGCTCTCCTACAGTGGCCGGTCAATATTACATACCTGTTACCTTTATCACAAAAGGAAAAGGGTCAGTCACCGCATTTGTTACAGATACGAAAGTTAATTTACCAAAAAAAGAAATGGTAGGAAAGAAGGTATTGCAAGCAATCACAAGCAAGCGCTAAGCCTGGAAAGCTATATAGCCCAGTACGGTTATCTTGAGGTTATCTTGAGATGATTTCGGGGCTTTGTGTCCCCGGGGCCCGGTCCTCGACCAGGCCTCCACCCCCAGGAAGCAGCCCGTGACAGCTGACTAACTCCCAGATACCTATTTACTGCTAGGTAACAGGGGCATCAGGGTGAAAGAAACTCTGCCCATTGTTTCTCGCCGGCGACCGGGATCGAACCCGGGACCACAGAATCACGCGTACAGTGTTCTGTCCGCTCAGCCACCGGCTCCACCAGTTTAAGCACTACACTCTAAGCTTTCGATCTAGTTATATAAACACATCGAGACTCGTGTAGTGAACAGCACCACAAGGCACGACTACAATACCATAAAGTAATCCAAACGTTTACCTGGTTGCCATGTGACACTAATCTGGCCAATCAATATTCACACAATAGAGATGCAGAGTAGATTACCACTTGATACTGATATGATGTTACAATGAAGGCATAAATAGAAGACTGAGTGCTTAGTTAAGGAGTTTCAGAGACCTTACAGTGAGCATCCTGGCCTGATTGGTAGAGTAATGGCTTCGTTTTTTATAGGCCACAGTTTAAGTCCCTTATAATCCAAATGAGTAAAAAGGTTATTAAAAAAACACAGAAACTGAAGAATATATACCTGATCGCTATCGTGTTTTATTAAAACATCATCAGTGGCTGATTATGTGTTGAATAGACAAATGTTCTTCATATTTCTTTTGTTTTATTGTTCTTATCAAATAACACGCTTTGGGATATATATATATATATATATATATATATATATATATATATATATATATATATATATATATATATATATATATATATCTGACACACAGTTGACTCAAATGATTCTGAAAATAGTGTTTATATCTTCTATTAATTTCCTTAATTATTCTCACTTACTTCATGGTTTCTTCTTTTTATCTCACTGTGTTTGTGACAATGTGTACGTGTTTGAGTGTTTGTGTGCGTGTTAGTGTGTGTCCACGGATTCTTGGCTGAGTTTAAAATATATTTAGGTCCAGTTAAATTTGTAGAAAACTTATAGAATAGAAAATTTGTGCTCCTTCGGATGGTTGCACAGCAACATGCAAACCGCACGGTCAATGTACGTTAATACTGCTGTGTCCCAGTGATAAGAGATCCTCTGAGCTAGAATAACAGTGAACACCGGAGCCGCCACAAGATTTACCCATCTCCTGACAAAGTTTTAATGCTGCTGGTCCTTAGAACTTGCCCTTAAGATATAGCAGCACTGTCCTTTTATTATTCATAAAGAAGTGTGTAATCGTGGTGTGCTAATATTTCCGCTCTAAGTTACACTAAACTTCGTGCCCTCGTCATTTTTGTGTTAGACTGATACTGCCAAGCTGTCTGTGCTGCCGGTACAGTGTACGGCCAAAACATGCATAGAGGTTCATTACACAGAAAAATCACAGTAACGTTATATCAATGAGAAAATACACAGAAGCCGTGATGAGGATTCGAATCTATGCGCTGGGAATATATCCCTTCACAGGGATTACTACAAGGCTCAATTTCTGATTATGAAAACTGTATGTATCTTTAGATTAGTCTGTGTTACCATAGGTAATATTGGAGTTGGGTTTTGATGGGTTGGATTTGGTTAAGTTGGGTTTGATTAGGTGAAGACTCGCACGGAAACACTTAAAGTTGCACATGAGATGGGGGGTTCTACCTTTTGTTTTGTTAATTTATGTCTATACTGACAAACTATTTAAGGGTTTCTTGTGATCCAGAGCGCTGGTCTACAGAGGAGGAGGAGGGCCGTGTTTATCTCAGAGATCCAACGGCAGTCATAGTAAATCTGTGAATGCTATGAAAAAGTTAATGCAACTATTTGTTTATATCATATATGTACTCCCTTAAGATATACTTCATACGTACAACTTTAGGGTATACTTCAGAAGCAATAGTTAAGTGATCTTAGCCAATTTCACATTATTTGGTGAAATTAATAACGAGATACTCCATAAAGGGTATAATGACACAGAGACATTATACACAGAGTAACATTATACAAAGTTACGACGTTTCAGTCCGTCCTGAACCATTATCACGTCGTGTGAGTTATTTATTCCCCCTCACGTTATTGTGACATATTGTCTGCAGTATAAACACTACATTTGTATGTGTATATGAACCCCACTGTAATACCACTGAAACAAATAATAAACTACACGCAACTCGACTGCACGAAGCTCTGGCGGCTCGACTTGTGACAGTGCTACCAGTACATCACTCAGAAGTCTAGTTAAGGACGTCGCCAGCAGAGACAGGTGGGAACACGTACAGACAGTGGAGTCTGAACATCCAGGCCGACCCACCCAAGTTCAAAGCATCTCCCTTTCACTTGATTCTACAACAACTTGCAGGTGTTGACGCTCTCATGATGCTGGCCGGAGGAGTGAAACAATGTTGTAGTTTTTCCCGGATGTTCTTCATGGCAAATATGTACATAGTATCCGCATGTAACACTTAGTATACTTTATATAACAATATGTTTAGCAATACCATGTAGAGTATATCTGTCGCGTAAAAAAAATCTACATTTACGCAGAAACGGTTTAGATAATGAAGATTTCAGTAACGTGCAACGCAGTTTTTTTTCAATATCTAGAAATTTCCAAAACGTCTCATGACGGAATTTTATTTCTCGTCTATATATTAATTTTTTATTTAGATAATTAATATAATTAATATATATATATATATAAATATATATATATATATATATATATATATATATATATATATATATATATATATATATATATATATATAATTCGCAAGATTATAAAATATGCATTGTTGTCATGAAAGGAAACGTAGGCGGTTGAAAGTTTGTCCGAATCAAGTGAATGAGAATCTGGAAAATCATCTCCGTCTTAAATCTGCGTAGGAGCGAGAATTAAAACGCAGACACAACTCACACACATCGTTGTGTAATAGAAGGAACACACACACACACACACACGCACACACACAAGCCACGCTATTCCTGACAAGCGATACGGGGTCAAAACAAGCCTGGCACTCTACTGATACCTGATTCATGAGCTGAAGTCATCAGTAGAAGTTCTCGTCCTAAAATTAAATCAATACTATTAGCAACGATGTAGTCAAAATATACTAATATAACGATCAAACACAGTATATAAATCGTCACCAGCACCAAGCCACACGTGACAAACAATAACACAGCATTCCTCAGCATCCCTCAGCATCCCTCAGCATCCCTCAGACGTGCTTACCTGCTGGGTTTTTTTGTCCATTGGCGGTAACGTTATTGTTGTTGTTGTTGGTGATGGTGTTCTCTGGGGAGGAGAGCTTGCCCATGGCGGCGGCGGCGCTGCTGGGGACGGAGTGGGCTTCGTTGATACCTAAGTGGCCGTTCAGCACTCTAGAGGTGTTTTCATTCATGCTACGAGGTGGCCCTCCACCCCTAGTGCGTCCTTGTTGTCCCGCACTCCCACTGCCTTAATAAACACACACGCGTCGATATCACATTGGATGCGTGAGACTTGGTGTTTCCTGATAAATGATATACTAATATAACCGAATGACTGAGCGAACGTGGAAGAGTTTTGGGGAAAAAATAAGAGATGTATTTGTATCTCTGTGTGTGTGTGGAGGAGAGTGGCGGAGCAAGCGTGAACCTGTGGCCTCCACAGCCTCACACCACACTTCAGATATTTAACAGAAGTCTGGTCGTAGCACGAAGTGATATATGTTTACAGAGAAACTAATGTTCGTTGCAACTTATTTAGAATAAGTTGCCACTATTACAGAAAACAATGACCTTTACAATGGTGAAATTGTGGTTAAATGACCTCAAATGATGGATTTCTAGTAACACTGCCGTGGATGGGGGACAGAACCTAAAGAGGCTCGTCTCCAGAGACTAAAACAACAGGAGAAATCGGTTCGAGCATTGGCGATGGCGTGCTCGACCCGCAAACCACTTCGCGCTCCCGCAGTCGAGACCAAACTAAGGAGAGCACGCTGGTCTCATGGCCCCTGGGCCGGGTGCCAGTCTCGAGCGCCACTGTACGACAACTGCCTCTATGGCCCTCACCTGCGGCGCGCACGAGCTGTCCTCCCCCCGCTCCCCAACACCCCCTACCCTTTCCCCTCTCCTCCCTCATGCAGCAGCGTCTCCCCTCTCCCCCACCCTCAGCTCCCCCCCCTCGCCCCCAATGACCCCTCCCTCACTCCACCGCTCAGTCAGGCACCCACCTGATGTGAAGGGTTTTCCTACCCAGTACTCCTCTGTTGCGTGTGTTTACCTTCTTGCAATATTAACTGATGAGATGTTTTATTGTTTCAGACCACAAGTGTTTTTGTTAATGGAGGGAGGGAATGTATTTATCTCCCGTAGCATACCTCTGAGGGTCTGCATGGTTTCTGGCAATAATACTGCGTGATTGGACACTGTTATGCTGGACACTGTTATGTTGGACACTGTTATGCTGGGTGCTGTTATGTTGGGTGCTGTTATGCTGGACACTGCCATGCTGCATTTCTAAAGTGAACGAAGCACTCCCTCCCTTTCATCATAGTTAGAGCCCAAATCTAAGTAGGTATACAAATATTGATAAACAACAGATATCACTGTCGCTACAACTGCTATTTTCTGACGAAAATTTGGTTGAAATCCTGAGTTTAGTATCTTGTACAATATTAAAAAAAAACTCTTTTTTATTATATTTCTTTTGCTTTTATTGTTTAAGGTTTCTCTCACTATTTTTTTTTACCTGTTGGATCCCCACAATGTTCAGTCAGACGTATATATCTATCAATGTTAACATACAATACACCAATATTATTATACAATCGTTATATAATCTTTTTGCTGTTGATTGTACATTAATGCGTTACATTAAGGTGCTTCTTCCCTACCTTATCAAGTAGACACAGATTTACCCTTATCTCATTTCCCTGTGCTTAGTATACATATACATATCAGTATGATTAATGTATGTATGATTAATACTTAACATTTAATTCACTCTCCCCTTCCACATTGTCATTTAAACATGGGAATATGACATAAACCATTACACTATAACTGGTCCTGTACTACTATCTAAATAAACCATCAGTTATTCAATGGTTTCTTGTTAACAAAGCCATAATACCTGTGCAGTTGTTCATTCGTTAACTGGCAGACTCATTCATCACTTATTGCATTGCAATTTTGATGCTTGCAACTCGTCAAAACCCCGTTGCTTTAGTGAAATTAAAGGCACCTAAACATTAATGCTTCTCGCACTAATGAACAACGGTCCCAATAAGAAAAATTGTCTAGGTTCGTACGTTTCTCGTTACGCAAAAACCACTTTAAATCTGACGCTTTTAAAATCGTAAGAACTGGTAAAAATAAATAAATAAATAAATAGATAAATGCCAGAAAGCATTTAAGTAAATAAATAAATGCTACGTAAATAAATAGATGCTAAATAGACTAGCAAGTGTAAGGAATGATGCCGTAAAGTTATCAGTCATCTTGAGATGTATGACTCGTCCATGCCGTTAATAAAGGAAGCTGCAAGCACGAGGCCCGACCAGAAACATTGATAACGGTGGACCAATTAACGCTTCAACATCTAACTAATAAAGCAGACGAACAGAAGCTCCGTGCTGCTCGGGGCCTTCATCTCAGACCCTTCTCTTGCACCTCCGAGCAAGTATAAAGTCACACGTGATTTGTGAACCAGGAGTTCCAGCCCCGTTCCTGTGCCAGGTAAGTCCCCTACGGGCTCACCATAGCCCGTGCTACTTAGAACGTTTTTTTCCAGTAGCTGAATCTTAAACAACAATAACAACATGTGAACCAGCAATACATTCATGTGTGCGTGTTCATTTTTATCCACTCCTGTCCCTGTGGGTACTGTGTGCGTCTTTAGGGGGTTGGGATTGAGGACGGGGGTTCGATCCCACCGCTCTGTATATTTCGTATGTATGTATGTATATATATATATATATATATATATATATATATATATATATATATATATATATATATATATATATATATATATATTATATATATATATATATATATATATATATATATATATATATATATATATATATATATATATATATACATACATTCATATACATATACATATACATACATACATACATACATACATACATACATACATACATACATACATACATACATACATACATACATACATTAGGATCTATATCCTCAAAGAACAGATTATTATACACTGTAGTAAGCCTTACTGGCTTATTCTTGAATGCACCTCAAAATTTTTGTTTTCAAATCATCCAAATTACATTGTACTTTGTGCTTTATTAAGAAAAATCTCGCTTCCTGTTTTCTGTGTCTAGGAAAAATAATTACTTCCCTAAAGCTTTGTTATATTTTTGTTTAAAGAGGAAATGCGCATTCATTTCCGTCCAAAAATTTTGTTTTATTTCAGGGAGATACGTAATATGCGATATATTAACCAGTGTTCAATGAGCAACTCAATCGATATGTTGACCAGTATAGAACAGCCAACACAAGGTGGCTTTGTTTTATTACTAATGAAAAAATATGCGAGGCTTCCATCGATGCAGTTAAATTAACTCTCTGAAATAAAGAACCACGGTGCGCAGGTCAGTGATCTGTATTTAGGCTGGACAGTAATTGTGGCTTGGACAGTGGTTGTGGCTTGGACAGTGGTTGTGGCTTGGGCAGTCCTTGTGGCTTGGACAGTCCTTGTGGCTTGGACAGTCCTTGTGGCTTGGACAGTACTTGTGGCTTGGACAGTACTTGTGGCTTGGACAGTCCTTGTGGCTTGGACAGTCCTTGTGGCTTGGATAGTACTTGTGGCTTGGACAGTACTTGTGGCTTGGACAGTCCTTGTGGCTTGGACAGTCCTTGTGGCTTGGACAGTCCTTGTGGCTTGGACAGTCCTTGTGGCTTGGACAGTCCTTGTGGCTTGGACAGTCCTTGTGGCTTGGACAGTCCTTATGGCTTTGACAGTCCTTGTGGCTTGGACAGTCCTTGTGGCTTGGACAGTCCTTATGGCTTTGACAGTCCTTGTGGCTTGGACAGTCCTTGTGGCTTGGACAGTCCTTATGGCTTTGACAGTCCTTGTGGCTTGGACAATGGCCACCACTACTGAAAGGGAAAGTATCAAAAGAGATCGCTAAGCCAGAATGACTATAGAGCGCTCGGAAAAGTTATGAAAACGAGGAGCTGGAATATGAGGGATGGGTGAGGGATGGGAGCAGTCGGCTATCTGCTAAATGTATAGAAGAGGAGCATCGAGAACTTGTACTGACGTTAGCTATAACTTTGTTCCACCAGGCAATAATTGTTCCACAATGCAATATGAAGATGGTGCAACGTGTTCTACTAAGTTTCTAATGGTAGGCTTGGTTACAATACTACAGAAGAACAGCTCGTAATAACATAACATGCTTACTTTTGGTATTCCAGAAGAACATCTTGCAGTAACATAACAGAGGTATAATTCACTTGCTTTAGGCACTTCTGAAGAACATCTCAAGATTTAACGCACTTCCTTGAGGCACTTCTGAAGAACATCTCACATCATAACAAAAGTATGACACACCTCAGGTGCTTCAGAAGATTATCTCATAACATAATAGAGGTATAACACTTTGTTTAGGCACTTCTGAAGAACATCTTTCCACACAGCAAAAATGTTAATGGTTGGTATGCCAATGCCACCAGATGCACAGTATTTCTTTTCGGCAATTTTAAGTTTTGTTCCCATCCCCACGTGTGAAAAGCCCTATAAAAGAAAATCTTTCTAATTTGTCAAGAAGAAACAGCTATAAAAGTTTTCTCATGTAACTTGTTCCAAGAGTCTGACATAAAAATATTATAACACAAATTAAAAAAAAACTTCGTTGCTACTGATCTGAGTCGGTTTTTGTTTTATAAGTCAAATATTTTCCGCATATATACAGTATATATCAAAGTTTAAATAAAGCAAACATATATGTGTATATACAGAAGAATGGGGGGGTGGTAGGACTAGGTCCACGGGAGACATCTCCCGTCACGCAGGGTGCAGTCGCGCCTCCTCAGATCTCCAGTATCAGCTCTTGATACTGGTAATGGCTCAAAAGGGCCACCACATACGGGCTATTCATGCCCGTGCCACCTTTTAGGTGGCTTAATCTTCATCAATCATCTGGGGGATGGTAGGACAAGAAAATATTAACTGTCTCACACCACCGACCGTCCTAGTAGTTGGGCACCATTCCTTTCCCCCCCCGTCTCATCCCAAATCCTTATCCTGATCCCTTTCAATCGCTATATAGGCGTAACTGCTTGGCGCTTTACCTGGATAGTGTCCTTCCCTTCCTAAGGATGAACGGAATTATATTTTGTACACTATAAACAAGGGAGATTATATTTTTTTATAATTGTTTCGCAGGATTAATTATGAATTTGAATCATCTTTTGAGCAGACTGGAACTTGGCAACTCTAACTTAGCACTAAATTTGTTTGCATGAATAATTAACGTTGCATAAGATATAGAGTCAGTTTGTCCTACACGAGGACTCATATAAATCAGGTGCAGCAGTCGGTATATCATATATATTTTGGTTTAAGTAATGGCGATACTCTTTGCAGGAATAATATTAAATTTCCTGTATGCTCTGAAATGTTTAAACTCGAGACAAATCCAAAGGGACACGTCGCCTACAGCTGTTCGGTATTTTATAGAAAGTGCCGAGCAATTCTCTCCAGACGCCCTCTGGAGTCTTTGATACCAAGACCAGGCAGGCGCACCTGAAGGATTTCTTTTCGAGTCATCGGTAGTGATGTTGAGGTGGATGTGGCGTTGGTAATGTTAAGGGTGGATGGTGGTAGTGTGGATGGTGGTGTCTGGTGATGCGAATGGTGTGGGTCTTGGTGGCTGGGGTAATGATGGTAGTGATCATGTACTCTCGCTATTTTACGTTTAGCTTTGTGTTTCACGAGAGTGGATTCTACAACGGTTCAGAATATTATTGTACTGTCCTCGTAT